TTGATCGCTTTGAGAGAGAGATTGCATGTGAAAGGTGCCACAAACAGAGTTTTTTCAGCAAGCTAAACAGACAGGACTTTCCGGGCCCACTCCCACAAAACCGGGGCCAAATAGCAAAGGGCCTCTCTTTTCATGTGACTGAGGCAAGCAGCTTTTGTCTGCGATTTGCAGGTCCCCTCCGTGGCCAATAGACAACAGGCATTGGGCTGGCTTTGTTTCTCTCTGCAGCTGACCCTTCCCCTGTTTTGCTGCCCACTCCCCAGCAACAGAGGAGGAGGGGTGAATCTTTCAAATGTTGAGCTGGGGAGGGGGCCGTCCTCTTCCCATTATTTCTTTCTTAGCTCTTCTCACCCCAACCCCAACCCTAACCCTGGAGAGTAAACATTCAAGGCAATGAGGGACATCAGGTCTCTCAAAAGTTTCAGGAACCCCAGGACGCAGCCCAAAGGGACATCAAACGCCAGTGGAAAGTGCAGGTCTCCCCAGCAACCCTTGGGAAGGTTCCTTTTCTTCCTTCCATGGCGGCACAGACTGGCTGGGGTGGGGGAGAACCCACAGAAGTTTGTGGGGACTGGCCTGAGCCTCTCCCTTGGCAAAGGCAGAAAGGTAAGAAGAAGAGACTGCCGCTCACCCGTCGGGTGGAGTTCAGCATTACTGCATCACTGCAGAGCTGTACAGGATCAAATGGGCAAAAAGAAAAGAAAAAGAGAAAGATGCTGATAAGCCACCCAGAGACTTTTAGTAACGGGACGGCATACAGACACTTTAAATAAATAAATAAGCACCTCTATTTACATGAATGTGTAATTAAAAGCTGGCTATGGTCATTTATTGCCTGGAGTCCCAAAGATGTTGGTGGACTCCAGTGCTCATCAGCCCCAGCCAGCATGGCTGTCAGCCATGGGATACGGGGTCCCGTAACACTGGCAGGGCTATAGGCTTCCCTGCACCATGATCTGACAAGAATATTCGTTTTCTTTATTATCGTTCTATCCGTCCTGCCTTCTAAGCAACTCGGTGTGGTCTGGGTGACTCTCTTTTCCATCTGACAGGCCCACGTGGGAGTCATTCAGGCTGAGAGAAAGAAGAACCGGCCCCAAATCCCCTGTTTGCTCTGTAGATGAGGGAAGATTCTGACCTGGATTCTTTTGTCTCAGTCTGATCTTGGGGGTGTCGATCGACTTTCACAGCCCAAGCACCAAATGCCATTTCAAGACTCTCTCAGGGTCCGCAGTCTGGTGGGGGCCAGGACTGAGAGCAAAGGAGGTGGGGGCACGCTCTCCAAACCCCAGCAGCCCCAGTGTCTTTCTGCAGGTAACTGTGTCTCACAAGAAGCACCTCAGACTTTCAGAAAAGAAGGGGGAAGGAAGGTGCACAAGCTGGCTGAGAAAAGATGGCTTGCCAGGTGAAAACGGGCCAGGCCCGGGAGAAGAGAGTGCGGCCCTCCAGGAAACCTCAGCGGGTGGCTCTGGAAATCTAGGAGTGTCACTTTTAGCTGCTGGGCTTAAGGCTGCAACTGCTGTGCTGCACACCTTGTGTGTCTCCCAGACAGCAAGGAGTGGCTGTGTACACAGTGCGACTGTGTTCCAAGAGCTGCTTCTTGGCAACGCCGACTAAACCAAGCGTTCGGGAGTCTTTACATGGGGGAGGTTTTTGTGTGATCGCACGGAGGCTTATGGCTTGAGAGTCACTCCCTGCCGAACCGTGGATGGTGAGAAACGAAAGCACAGGAGGGTGTATTAGCTGCAGTTTGTCCCCAGACAGGGGTGCTCCTGCGCTTGCACAGAGAAAATCATTTCCTGGACTGCATGAAGGGGCCCAGCCTGCAAAGACTGCGGTACTGGTGCCCACAAAGGAAGTCCTGCCATCTTGGTGGCTGACAGCAACGGGGGAAAATAACCTCTGAGTCTGTGCAGAGGGGAGCCTGGGATGGAGCTCTGGGGATACAGGCCAGCTCCTGAGAGGAACAGCTGTTCAGCAAACAACCATGCTTGTCATAGAAACACAGAATAGTAGAGTTGGAAGGGGCCATGAAGGCCATCGAGTCCAACCCCCTGCAGTTGCAGGACACCCTGTTACACCATTTTGTGGGTGTGTTTCCTTCGATGTAGGGTGGGCAAGCGTTCTTGTTTACAGAGAACAGCTTTCTCTTTGGAGGCCGTCCTCTGTTTCAGAGGAAGTCAAAAAGCAGAACTCCAGATGTTCTGAACTGTAACTTGCAGCACTCCTAAGCATTGGTAGTGCTGGCAGAAGCTTCCGGGAGCTCATGTCAAAGTATCTGGGCATCTACCTTCTGCTCACTCCTGCATCTCAAGCAGACAAAGGTCCTGTCCCACTTCTGGGACAAGAGACCCTATTCAGGTTGCAGATCTGGGAGAACAGACAATCTGAACAAGAGAGCATGCATTTACCCCCAAGCTATTTAGAATCAGTCATGTCATCCTCCTCCGAGAGACTTGCGTAAAGGATTGATTGCCCAAGTCCGGCCATCACACACTTCCGCTGTCCCTGCTCTAACCCTATCAGTGCAATGAGATCCTGAGGCTGCCACCGTGCAGAAATGCGTATGTTTTCTGGAGTCCATCTACACCCAGCGGCTGCTAGGGTTGCTTCTTTCGAAAGGGCCTTCCTCTAATAGGCCCTTGCCTACCAAAACTCTTGGGAAACTCTTCAACAACTTTGTGCCAGTTTGCTCAGTACTTCGTGGGGGAAATCCCGAAATGGCTTTTGGTTGAAAAACCAGAGCAAGGGAGCTCTTGAAATAGTTCAGGGCAAGAGAAAACAAGAAAAAGCAGATCAACCAGAAAAGGAGAAACAGAGTGCGTGTCCCAGGCATGAATCACCAGACATAAACGGAAAATGACTTGATACACAGCGGTAGGGCACGGTATATATATTTGGCATATAGAATTGAAAAGAGCATTGCAGATTGTATCTTATTATTATTACTTGCACTGCCTTTCCCCTCTCGCGGCATTTCTTACAAGGTTCTCCATCCAGTCCGGACTTCACCAACATGGCGCTGCCCAGATGTTTTTGATTACAGCTCTGGGATGTAGCTGAGAACATCTGGAGGGCACCAGATTGGAGAAGGTTCATCTGGTCCAACTGGCTTGCCACCACTGGCTCAGCAACGCAGGAGTTTCGCCTTTTTCACACCTCCTTCTCAGTCCTTGCCCTTCCCGTGTCTTCCCTTTTAGACTGTAATTCCAGGGGGAAGGAACTGCCGGATTATTCATCCTTGAAAACTGGTCTGGGAGCCACTTTTGGCTGAAGGGCATCCCTAAGAGAGGACATCTAATCTTTGCCTACATGCCTCCAGCAATGCTTTTGAGGGAGACTGCTCTGCTGTGCAGCTAGTCCCCATCATTCCGAGGTTCCTCTCCCTGATTGTCTCTTCACAACAACCCTATGAGGTGGGCGAGGCAGAAAATCTGTGGCTGGCCCCAAGTCACCCAGCGAGCTACACGGCTGAGCTGGAACAACGAGGACTCCCCGAGTCCCAGTCCAGAGCTCCCACCTCTGTAGCCCACTGGTTTTTGGTAACTCTCGGATGAGCCCCAGCGGGTGTTGGATTGGACGCATTCGGCATTTCCTGCCAGCTCGCTCCTGTTGCCACTTTCCACTGCTCCAGTCGCCTGGAAACCTGGAAATCCTCAGGGCTTTCTAGAGTGACTGTTTCGACCTCCCAAGCCATTTATTTTATTACATGAGGAAATTTGTGCAAAAGCTGCCCAGTTAGCATTACGCTGTCTGGGCAGCCAAATGAAATTCCTTCTTTTCAGAGGTCAACCAGGGCTTCCATGTCCTAGTTTATAACCACAATGAAGGCTAAGGTTGTGCTCTCTTCCAGGCATGCCTCACTGCCGTCTGTCCTCTCTGACCTTCCTCCTCTGAGCCCAAAAGCCACATGGCTTGCTGGGGCTTGGCTCCTCAGTAGATGATGCATCCAGGCAAATTGGCTGCCGCTTCCTCTTGTTTTCGCCTCCGTCAGTGGAGGTGGCGCAAGCACACTCAAGGGGCGGCTCTCCACAACATCCTGCCGGCCATGTCCTCTGGACCACTGTGGCCTGCTCTGGGGATTTAAGGAACTGCTACACCAAGCCCAGAAGGCCCAGTCAGGACACTGTGGTCCATCCGGTGAACCAAGGTCTGTTCCCTGCATCCCAGCCAGAGCATCACTTCGAGCCCCACACCTCAGCCAGGGAAGGAAGAGCTGCAGGGAGCTCCCTTTTCCCTTCTTTGACAGAAAACACAACTGCAATTACTCTGGAACCAAGAACAGGGGCATGAGTTTTGCTCCCTCAACTTTCTCATCTGCCCCCGTGCCCTTTCCTTTTGTGACACGCCATTTAGATTGCAAACCTGAAAACAAGGATTGCCTTACTATTAATCTCTGTAAATCACTCTAGGAATCCTCCCTTTTTAGCTGGCAAGAAGGCTAAAATACTACAACTCAATAACATTAGGGATTAGTATGCAGAGGTGACATTTTGCAGTGAAGGACAGCTTTTGGAACACAAAAAGCCGTGGTTTCACAACCCAAAGATGCTCCAGTATGGCACCAGGACCCTAACTCGTCTCTCCGTGACACTCTTTGGTTTAAAGGGGATGCAGAACTAGATTGAGGTGGGAGCCAAATTGTTCCCTGGTACCAGATCCTTTGTAGGACAGAGGATGATAGCAGAGCTGGTACTCAGCTCTCCATCCAGAGTGGTGCCCCCGACTCCCCATTCCGCCTTTCACTCCACTTGTTTCCTCCTACCAGCAGAAGCAGGTATACAAAGATGACTCACACACACAAATACTGCTGAAATTTTAAAAAGAGCCATAAATCGAAATAAAGCACGGCCAGTGCAGTACTCCAAATACAATGGATCACTGTTAAAACATGATAAAAAAGATGATCTAAAGAATGCTCACCTACAACAAACCTGCCCGCTCGCCCCAATCAGCCTAGAATGAACAACATAATCATCACCACAAACAAAGGTTGTTACCTGTGGTCAACAATGGTGACGTGGGACAGAGGAATCCCAAGCGCCATGCAGCTCTCCAGGAGTTCCTTCTTACGAATATCCCCTTGATGGTAGTAATTTCCTGCAGATACCAAAACCCAGAGGTCACACACTCTGTATCATGTGTCAATTCGGAATTTTAAAGCAGGTTCCTTGGCTTTTTATGAAATTTTATTTCGAAATAAAGAGGCTGTGAAGGGAGTTGGAAGAAAAGAATGCCACACTGTTTCATTTTGGAAGTGTCCATCAGTCCAGAGCAGTGTCTTAACTTCCACGTGTGGAAATGAGACAGATGTTAGCAGGCAAAATGAAGATGGGAAATGCTGCATAATCTTCTGAGCTTCACATAACTCTTCTTATAGTAGAACAGTTCTGTGCAACTCAGCAGTTGTCAGGGTCCTTTATCATTCTCCATGGACCTGATAGGAAAATCCTATTCTTTAAAACTCCTCTGCATCTCAAACACAGTGTAGGGACCACACTGTAAGGGTTTTATTTTTCTTAAACCAGTGAAACTAGTAAAATGGGCTGCAGTATATATGTCAAATGCATAAATCTACCACAATAGTACAGAGGCATTTACTCAAATGCTGTTGTAGGCATATTGATAACATTATTGCCAATAATATTATTCATAATTTGAACATTATTTTGCTGGTATCATTAATATTTACTAGGATTCTAAAATCATATTGTTAATATTGCCTAATTACACTTAATTATAATGAATAAATTTTAAGGTAAAAATAATTATTAGCACTCATAATTAACATCATTAACAATAATAGATTATTTACTATTAATAACAATATTCTTTATCCACATGGGGTAAACTGAGGATGAGGGTGTTAGATTACATCATACCAACCTCACCACACCCCATAATTCCACCTAGCCTCGTAGACGGCCTTTTGGGAAACCCTGACGTCGCTAGATGACGTCCAAACGTCACGCGCCTGTTATAAAATGGCCGCGCCGCCGTGACGTCACGCGCAGGCGCGCGAGGCTAAAGGTGGAAGAAAGGGGGAAAAGATCCAGTGACGAGTTCACGAACGTCACTGTTGCTAGGCAACCGCGCCCTCCTCCCCTCACCTGTGGACCCGCAGAGGAGCCATAGCTCAGCCCGGGCCAAGCAGAGGATGGTGGGGGCAAAGAACATGGCCTCGTCATCAGGATGCGCCGTCACGAACAGGGCGCGCGTCGCGCCATCTCCGCCCTGCGTCGGTCCGTCGGATAAAAGCTTCCGGGCATGCTTTCCACCCCACCTCACGCCGCGGCAGCGCCGGAGACCCCAGGACGAGAGTAGCCATAGCGAAGCAAAGAGGAGGGCCAGCGCCCCTGCCGTTGTTGCCTCCGCCGCCATAACGCGGGAAAAAGAGAAAGGCAGAAGCCCGTCTCCATAGAAAGTCCGGCTAGAAGCTGGTGCCGCGAAAAATGGCTCCGGAAAAGAGGACGCTTCCTACGTATTGAGGACAGGACGAGGAGGCGGGCTTTCGTTCGCTGGTGTCACTGGGCAAAAGGGCCTGGCCCATGCGAAACCTCGGAGGAGGAGTTCCGTCGGAGGGAGAAGCAGCTGGAGCCAAGGAGCAGTACTCAACTAGGCACGGTCTCAAAGGGCAAGGGTGCCCGTGCTTGTAAAAGCCAAGGTGCCCTCCTGACTGCTCCTAGATCAGACAAGTGTTGCAAGTGAAGTGCTGTTGTAGCAGCTGGTATTCAGAAGAGAATCACACATGCATATATGCGCTCAGTAAGAAGAACAGCTTAGAGAGAAGACGACTTCATAGAATCATAGCATAGCAGGTTTGGAAGGGGCCAGAAGGCTAATAGGTCCAACCCCCTGCTCAATTCCCAGTTAAACAATCCCTCTCCGAGGGCTGTCTAGCTGCATCTTGAATGCCTCTAGTGTGGGGAGGGCCCACAATCTTCCTAGGTTATTGGCTCCATTTTGATGCATTGAGGCCCATAAAGCAGTGTGGGTGGGGTGGACAGGAACACCACATTGTTCCTAATTTAGCTTCATTGATGAAAAAAATTTGAACAAAAGCATCAGAATTTCATGCCTACATATGTTTGTCTGACATGTATGCATAAACAAAGCTGGCCACCTTGTTCTTTTGAAGAACTTTAATGTGAGCCAAATAAGTTGGGAATTCAAAAAATGTTTAGAGCTGATAGGGGGTTAAATTCAATCACTTGCATCTTCGTTTTGAATGGATAGCTTGCCTTTGAGAGCTGGCAAGACAAAGCAAATTTCACTGCCCCCTCCCCCAGTATCAGACTGGGAATCCCCTTGGGTCAATGTGCATAGTTGTTGTCTTGTGGGGAATACCTGCTAACAAAATTGAACAGACGTTGACCAGGCAAAGTTTCTCATTTACATCTGTGAAAATGTGCCCACCCTCTGGAATTGCAGAATTCTACTTATTTAAAAAAAAACTTTGTGCATGTTTGGTGTGCAAAAAAGGAGGGGCTATTGAGTCACTGAAAGCCTCTAATATATCATCTAGGTTGTCAAAATAGAGTTTGTGAAAACTGAACTCAGGGAAAGTGGGAGGAACATAGGGAGAGCCAAGACAGCTGATCGTGGGGGGGCAGCAGGCTGACGATGTCACATTATGCAAGCCAAGTCAGTGTCTGCATGTCCACTTGAAGTTCAACGGGACTTGCTCCGAGGTAAGTAGCCTAGGAATGTAGCCTATCTCTCATGCATATTGATGCGGTGAAATTCCAGATTAATTAATATGTTTCAGTATTGCACGTTATTATATTGATATTGCTAACGGATAGAATCGTAATAATTGCATTAATCCGTGCAGTCACTGATACAAACTGATTACAATGAATGCGTTGCAAAAAGATTGCACGTGAGTTTTCGGGGAGCTGATATTAATGGCAAAAGTCTTGTTTTTCCCATTGGAGACCTGCCCGTCCCCCCCCCCCCGCCCGGTCTCCTTTGCACGCCGATTGGTTAATTTAACCCCCTGTATGAAGACTTGTATTCCTATTGGCTAGAGGATGGGGGATTTTCCCCTCCTAACAAGGGAGTTTGCGTGCTGATCTGTCCCATTCAGCGATTGGACAGCCCCGCACCTCACCTCTCAAAAACAGCCCGTGCTAGCCTAATCCTAGAACTAGGAACATTAGAGCAGCACCCCGTTGCTTGGATCGGAGAGCAGCACCCCGTTGCTTGGATGGGGTAATTTCGCAATCGATTCAGAAGCCATCTTTTTTGTATTTTTCCTCCCACACCGCTCGCCCACCAGGGACGGAAGTGAACGGCGCCGATAGAACCTAAAGGAGAAATCCAGCATTGTTATAATTTTCAGTGAGTCCCTTAAGCGACTTACAAATATAGCATTGCCCCAGTTGCAAATAGGGACGTATTGCAACATATATAATCATCCCTTAAAAGACAGCGCGAAAGCTGGATTTAATCTTGTATCGCGCGAGCAAATAGTGTGGCTGTTAAATCAAATCCGGAGCTGTTTCCCGGACATATTTGCTGTTTAGAAACACGCTAAATTCGTACCTCTACGCTTCTCCCTCTTATCGCTTTCGGCTGGGAGGGGGCGCCGCATTCCTGCTCGCTCATTGGCCGGCGCCGCAGAGCCACGCCTCTGCAGCCCTTGCTCCGCGATTGGCCAGCGGGCTCGCCAGCTCCGGCTCCCCGCGGGGGAGGGGCGCTGCCGTCGGGTCCTGCCAGGGAGGTAGTGAGCGCCCTCGAGCCGCGTAGGTGGGCCGCCGTCCGCCCGGGAATTTTTTCACCTGCTTGCCGGGGAGGGCGGAGAGAGGCGCGGGTGGCTCCCGGGCGTGGGAAAGGCCGGGTCCGCGTGCATGAGGGTCCCGCGCGCGGCCGTGCCCGCGCTCCCCGTGCAGCTGCCAGGACGCGGCGCTCCGGGGGAGGGGGCGGCTCCGCGCGCCGGAGGGAGGGGGAATGGGAGGGAGCGGCGGGCGGGCGAGAGAGGAAGGGGGGGGACTCAAGATGGCGGCGGTGGCGGCGGAGGAGGAGGTGCTGCTGCTGCCTCCGCTGCCGCTCCGGCTGAGGAGGAT